ACTCTGTGGGAGAAGACAGAACAAATCAATACAAACAGTGCTGGGCAGCAGGCTCTCCCTGGGGGGGCACACACCCACCCCCACCACCATTACATTCCCAGTCACTCTTCTATAAACTTTTAATTCCCACAGGCGATATTTTCTGAAGACACATATTTCATGCTGTAACTAATTATCGGTGCAGACATTTGACAGCGCAACAAAGCGGCACCATTTTTCCCTGACAGAATATTAAAAAGCAGACCAGGTTTTTTAAAGAGGGGTAGGGGTTTTTCCTGGCTCTCAGATGTTCGGTACCCTGCACTAAAAGCACCAGGAGGAAAGCACCATCATGTTCACTGACTCATCACTCACTCTGCACTCGCATTCCTGACCGGGGCCGTTTGAAATCAGCATGCTGTTTGTGCACGCTAAATGCCTTGGGTCTCATGCGGGGGGAGGGGGGAGGGGGGGTTGAGGATGGCAGAAGGTAAAATCATGACCATGATGGGAAAAGGGAAATGATTTTTCTCAGCTTGAAAACACCCTCAGCTATTAGGCAAACACGAACAAAAAGCACGTGCTGAGACGCCCGTTTTAATTGACAGCTCCCCGGTTGCGGCCATTCTCCCCTCTGCTTTTGCCTATACAGCACCCCCTTCTTTGTTCAGGCTCCCACGCTGTCCTTTCGTCTCAATGATCTGTCGGCCAGTTCCTTATGACGTGCTGCGCCAGGGGTCCTTCAGCTGCACACACCTCTATCAGAGATGCTTCCCAGGAGTCACAGTGGGTACTCAACAAATCAGTGTCTAATGAGGCTGACTAACGGAATCCAGAGTAAGCTTTACCCTTCTTGTGTAACACTGTGTATTATTATTATTATTGAATAGGTTTTGCCCAAGTCACTGTGCAGCATCTTCCAGAATTATGAAGCTCCACAGGTCCAACATCTGGAATGAACTCCTGTAATGAACCCCCTTGCAGTGTCAGCCGCAGGCGACTCTCAAAATTACACTTTCGCTCCCAACGGGCTGCTTTGGCCTTATATATAAAAAAAGATGGAGTAAATTACTTTAAGGCGTCTGCCGGGAGAAAAAAAATAAAATAAAGTGGGCCATCTGATTTTCCCAGGAAGAAATACTGGTGTTATGAGGCTCTGCTGGGACTGCGTCAGTGACTGCATATTTTGCTGAACGTCTTTCTGCATGTTTTCCTGCATGATTCTGTGGGACTCCCTGTCACATTTGGGTTAACGTTTGGGTTTGTTAAGACTGAACCTCCATTCAGTGTAGGAGGAGGTCTCACGAGAGACAAATGTGTCAATAAATCCTGTTTTCTGTTTGGGGAAGGTGTGTATGTGCGTGTGATGTGTGTGTGTGCGCAGTATACCTGCAACTCGCCAATCATGTGAAATATATCAAATGAATTCTGTCTTCTGTTGGGGGAAGGTGCATGTGTTTCTGTGTGTGTGAGTGTGTGCATGTATGTTTCTGTGTGAGGAGGTTGGGTATTGGGTAAGTGAGAGTGAGTTTGGGTTATTTGGGTAAATAAATAAAAATGTGGGTGAGACCTCATAAACCATACAAGCACTGATATGGCTGCTTTCAAGGGAAAGCTGAGATTAAACAGGCTGGCTTTGCTATCTCTGTCCCGGGGATGAGCAAATAGGGTCCATCCACTCAGAGGGGGGATGTGGCTTCCTTATCTCCATCAGAGATGACACTGGTTCCCTTTTGTTTCACTACGCTAAATCCGGGAACATCTATTGGCTTGTCATCCAAGAATATCTGCCTACTTCATCACTGGCCGCATGTCGGTCCTGATTACTGAGCTCGCAAGAAAAGCACACAATGAATGATGAGCCTCTTAGCGTAATATAACGACCCGGACCGAGGGCGATTGATCAAACGGCTGTCAGTTTTGGCACTGTGGTTCGTTCACAATACGAATGACATTCAGAGATAAACTCAAAACCTGGATATTTCACATTCTGTTAAGAATATGGTTGTGATCAGAACCCGGGGAAAATGAGAAGCAGAATATCTGCAGGATCTCTGTGCGCTGAAGTGAGTTTCATCTCACATTCCAAAGCAATGTTTCCTCTATACCCTCATCTCCCCAGCCTCGGCCTCAGCCTGCTGGATGCTGTAAATCAGCCCAAACCCTCATTTCATGATGCCTTTTAAAACCAACGGATGGGTCAAATATCCAGACTGAACAATTACTGACATTTCAAAAGGTATCTGTTCACCAGCATTAAAGGGTATGAGGTGTTTCACCAAATGCACAGCCTTACAAACTGGTAAAACGCCCATGGATGGATAGAGGCTTCAGATAATTGAATCAATAAGCTTTCCATCGGTGATATATAATGCAGTGGATTTGCAGTTAAGCTTGTGCTGTGGTCAGCTTGTAGTGGTTAAGGACACATGCTCATAACCGGAAGGCTGTAGGATCAAGCCTCTGGAGAGCCAAGCTATTTTATCCTGGAGCGAGGTACTTAATTTGAATGGCCCATGAAATTTCCAGTATTATAAGTCATTTTGGATGTCGATATCACTTAAGTAGCCAGAAGTACAAGCATCTAAACAACGATAAAAAAAGAAAAACAGGCATCATGACAAGCTCACACTTAAACACAAGAAACTATTTTTTTATTTCTCAAATAAATGGCACAAAATTACAGCTGTAGACAGGCAGAAAAACTGGTATGTGTGAGAAGATTTCACATTAACAAGCTTGTTTGTGAATTGCCGTGCTGGCGGGGGAACCAACAGCATCTTCATGTGTGTGGGAGCACCTCCCACACAGAATGAGGAAGACGAGCCTCAAGCTGAGGATTAGACCTAGATGCACCCGGCACAAGTGCCACAAACCCTATGAATGCAGAATTATTGAGCAGATCTCCCCTTGGATACTTCTTAAGTGTGTCTGTTCAGTATGCTTAACATGATATGGATGGCAGAGTCGGGGGGGAGGGGGGTATTTGCGAGTATTTGTCTTTGAATGTACGGTAAACCATAACAAACCCTAAACCCATGAATCTATATTTGAAGCAGGTTAACCTCCTATATCCTGTGATATGATAGAGTACAACCTGCCCCCTTTTCCTGGGACACATTCTTGGTGTCCTCTGTCACTGCCGTGCCCACTCCTGGACCTGGCAGGCAAGTCCATGCCTTAGTGTGGGAAGAAGCTGCTCGCTTAGCCTTCATTTGACACAAATCAAGCTACTGGTACTATATTACTCCATTTTCACTGTTTTTACTTTGTCCAGAGAGAAAGAGAAAGACAGTTACTGTCATTCCTCTGATGTTGCACTGCTATAGTACTGCTACTATGCTATACTGTAATACTACTACTACTGCTACTACTATTAATACATTTCTTCTTCTTCTTCTTCTTCTTCTTCTTCTTCTTCTTCTTCTTATTATTATTATTATTATTATTATTATTATTATTATTATTATTATTATTAGTAGTAGTAGTAGTAGTAGTAGAAGTACTACTAATATAATAATTGTTGCTGCTGGTTTATTATTTAATTTAAAACTAAATTCCGAAGAACTGGGCTTTATGTCTGTACGGATGAGGACGCAGAGACGGATTATATCGGAGTGGTTCTCGGAAAACGGGCAGTTTTAAAAAAGAAAAACATAAAAATAATAATCACTGAGCATCTTTTGCTGTGAGAGCATCGGTGACATTGCCCAAGCTTCCTCGGGTAGAGAGGACACCCAATTACGGAGTGAAACACGGAGACGGGGCATGATTTACAAGCTGACTCAGACGAGCCGAACAAACTATTAGAGCAGAATCCGCCACGTTTCCACTAAGTTAGCCAGGGAATAGTGTCCTTCAGTCTGTTTCATAGATCGTTGTGTAAACTCTGAGCGCTTATATCCAAGTTATCAGTTAGGTTTACCTTCTAATTTAGACGATTTCACATTTTCCCAACATGGGATACACCACTGCGTGTTTAATAAATACAAAACTCTGTCGTTGAAAAAGCAACCCAGTTACGAGTAGCAAAACTGTGATGCACGAGCGGCATTGATTATGGGCGTTTTGAATGGGATATTTGGGGTAATGGGGTAATGTTTAGGGCGCCCATACGGACAAGCTGAATGAAATAACACTGACCTCTAGTGACAGTGTCACCAAAGTCTCTCAACTGCTTATATTAAACGTGGTTTTTAATTAAAATTATTAAATATCTGGGCGGGTCGCTGGCTTGCAGCACATTTCCACGGAGTCGAATGAGTACCGCGGAAACGTCTCTATTTTACAAAATATAACATTTAAGCAATTTGTTTGTACTATTTTAAAATGAAGTTTATATATTTAAACTGTCAGGCTTAACACAGTTCAGACTGTGACAAATCCTTCTGTGAAAAAAAATGGCATTACATATGTTTAATACACCTCAGATAGTATAGTTTATTTCAAAAGGTTAAAATTTCTGTTTGAATTAGCAGGACGGATCTGTGAATAATTTTTAGAGGTCCAGGAGTTAATCCCTGGATCCCGAAGTCAAGAAAATGAGCAAACAAGCATCTCCGCCGCATGTTTCTCACAGGGATTTTAGTTTCCACATCGCAGGGAAGTTTCTGCGCAGCATGCAAACATCGTTAACATTTAACTGAAAATGTAGTGTGCGAAAATAAGGTTTTACCTTATATACGCTCAGTCATAAGGCGACACGCAAGATAACAGCCGTGCCACTGTTATTGCGGATCGCACCTAGGATAATGCTACATTAATTTAAAGGGTTTAATTCATTTAGGAACGCGACCAACTACACTTTGTCCAGTTAGTACAATGCAGCTACGTTTTATATTTAAAATACAGATGCGCCTGGAACTCGCATTTGAAGAACACTACACAAGGTTTAAATTGAACATTAACATTTTACATATTTGTTCACCTAGTAAAAATAAAACATGCATGGTGCAGAAACGCATGGTGCAGAAAGTTCCATCTTTTGTGCTTCACGTTTCTCAGATCGCCGAGTTACTTACAGTTATTGGCCGCCAGCGCTGAACTGAAGACCATCAGGGTGACGGGTAGGGCGTAGGGGCACAGCGGGCTCGGCCACCCCATCTCTAGTGCGTTTATCCAGGCTGAGATTAATCCGAAGTCTGCGTGCAAATAGCTCCAGTGCGCGGCGCATCCGAGTGTTATTTCCAGCGGCTCCCGTTCTGTAGCCCGGAGCCAAGGTGCCACTGATGATATACCGGAGACAGACACTCCCCCCACTGCCTGTGCTTAAAGACGCGCACTGACGGCATCTCCCGGGGAGAGGGAGAGAGAGAGCGGGGGAGAGAGAGAGAGAGAAAGAGAGAGAGAGAGAGAGCATGGATGCAATAAAGTGCAACGCTATTTTATTTTATGCATCAGTCGGCGATTCATAGGGGTGTGTCTATCCATATGCTGTGCATCTCTGACTGAGACTTTGCTTGTTCAGCCACTGCTTAATCGTAAGTAGTTTATGTATGAATCATGAGATCTTCTCTATGAGGGGCTGTCTCAGAAGTTAATCCCTGTTACTTCAGGACCACTGACGGCTCCCCGAGCTGTGCTGGGTGCCGCTCGCTTTATTTCAGCACCACAAGCGTGGACAGCTCCCTTAACCGACTTTCGTCCACGTCCGGGGAATTTCAGAACCACAGTTTCGGACAGCACCCAGAAACGGCTATTTATATTAATATATGTTATGATAGATATAATGAATGGTTCGGCCAATATTTCTTGCCTTTTCCATTTATTGTATACGACAGACTCGTCTATTTGAGTACTTATTTAACTAGTCATGATACATCAGTGCTGCCAATTTTTACATAAGTAACCACAGTACATCAATACCAAAGTCATATAAATAGTGATATAAACAGCTATCACTGTTTGCTTTGTACGTTACAGAACAAGAGAGAAGCTTCCTTGCTGAGACTGAACTGAAGGCTGCAAGTTAAATAATCTTTAATGCCCAGGAGAATTGCCTCATCTCCCCTTTCTCTCAGCCCTTCGTTCCTCTTCACCCCTTCGTTCCTTTTTTCTTCCTGTCCTCTTCCTCACACCTCCCTCTCCTCCTCCTCTCCCATTCCTTCCTCTTCCTCACCCCTTCTTTCCTCTTCTGCTCCCAGCAGCAGAACCTGCTACACAGCCTGTACAGACTTGCACCAAGTGCAGGATACCCCGTTGGCTTTAGAAAGTGTTTAAAGCTACAGAAATATCTGTATTTTTGTATACTAGCACTGTAACACCATTTACGCATTAGCAGTGATATTATAGGGCAATATGTTTCCTCTTGGAGCACTCAAGCTGATATTTATTTCAGCTTTTAATTTAATCTTTTCAATCTTAAGACATATATCTCAGCCAAGTACATTCTTCTCTATATATAATCTCTATCTGTATATCTATTTATATTTAGGTAAAATTATCTCATTCAGGCATTAGGCGTGAAGTACTGTAAATGCTTGTTATTCCTGTTATATTGCATTGCTATTGTTCATCTTCCCTGTGTTCAAACAGCTGCCTTATGATCCCTGATGTGGGTCTCTGAGATCAGTCAGGTTTACTATTCCTGGACTTTTGGATAAATCAAACTGATTTCATGAGGTATCGGGGGGGGGGGTGCTCACCTGTCTGGTCAGCACATGCAACTGGGATAAATCACCGCTCGGCGGTGCTGTAGCTTTCTGTCACACTTGAGATCGCCGTCACGCCAGGGGTCTTGAGGGTAGGTGGGTTAAAATGAGTGACATATAGAGGCTCCGGCATGACCGTCACACCACTGCTGAAACCAATGGCTTCTTGGAGTGAAGTGATTCTGTTCACTGCACTTCTTTTCCAGGAAGGGTGGACTTGGCCACACCGCGGACTGTGCTGCTGGGGGGTTTATTCTTGGGAGCGAGTGACTCATTGGCTGGCTCTTTCCCTCATCATGAACATCTACTGGGTCTCCCTGGAGTCGGAGGAGCACCCCGGTGGCTGAAAGGCATCGCCATGATAATTGTGGACCTTGGGGCACTTCCTGTATGTGAATGAGCCCCTGGGAGACAGAGAGGAGCCTGGAGATAGAGCTAGATGCCCATCGTACTGTGGATGAGGAGACAGCTAAGCCCTGGGGTGGCTGAAGGTCTCATCTGAAATTATGTGACAGTCAGCCCATGTCACCTGGGCCCACATGGTCTCTATTGATGCTGCTGTTTTCCATTTTGTGAGGAGAGCCCACAAAGTCCAGCAACTATGCAGACTTCCTCAAGTCCTTTTGCTTTGTTTTTTTTATAACAAAGACCCTGAATCACACGTCATCCAGCATTAACTTTAAAGGGTGCAGTAAGGGGCGACTTGCCAGGCAGCATAGTTGGGTCCTCTGCCTCTTCTCCGCTATAAACTGATTCGCTATTTCAATAAACATGCTGCTTCTCTGCACATGTTGAGCTGCCCTCCATCTTTGTTCCCCTCTGCATTCCAGTTACAATCTTTAGCTGGCAGATTTGAACCAATGGGGTTCATCCCCTTTGACAGTGTGCATTTGATAGAACCAGCTGCTCCAGTCTTGTTCCGCCACGTGGGGAACCTTGCTTAACTCACAGGGAGCAGTTCACACCAGCTTTGTTATACAGGTTCTGCTGACAGCTACATGACCATGAGTGATTTTTATAAATCATTGTATAAGCCCTGTTATAATGGTAAAAAGTTTGGCAATTATGGTGTATAGTAATTTTTAAAATGAGCACTTTTAAAAATAAAATATTAACAAATAAATAAATTCTATCTAATTTTTAAACAGCTATTTGAATGCAATTGTATATTTTACCCTCATACTCCCAAAAGGTTTTCCATGTGTTACTGGAGAGTCATCCGGTTCCTTGCCCCAGTAAATAGGGGTAAGATGCATACCGATTCCTCAATGTGGAGTATTACAAATCCAGTGAGCTTCGCCCTGCACACCATGACCCTACTGGAGACCCTCACTCATTTGTGCAGGTCTGCAATTGCTTACATCAGCATTAGATTAAGCCTTGCTATCAGACATAGATGAATGATGCACCCTGGAAACATGAAAGTGATTCACTCTGCCAGCATCCAGCTTCTGAGAATTCATAAAGCTACTTATGTAATTATGGCACTCCCCTGTGTGGCCTGATTAAACACCCCCCCAGCACACACACACACACACACACACACACACACACGCACACACAATGATAAGCAGCGGTATGCCAAATCTCTGCCATGCTTCCTACCACTTACTTGGCAAAAGAACTTACTTAGGGTTTCTTACAGATCTGAGAAAACACAGACACGATCTACTGAGATGATTGTAAGTAATGTGGAAACAGTATCATAAACAGCTCTAGACTGAAATGCCCCTGTATTGTAACTAAATACGTTCTACAGAGTGAAATGTTCAGTTTACATGAAAGAGGATTTTCTTTTTCACATAACAGCAGTATCTCAGTGCGGATCTAGGATGTATTCCTGCACAGACAGGAAGCTGCAGGGTCCTGTGTGAGAAGGAGAACATGCTTAGATACTTCCTTCGCTGGAGAATAGCCTGAGGAAGCAGTTGGGTACACATCAAATGAGCTACTACTGTAGTATGAAGAAATTGTTACTGTATGTCACTGTTTCATCCAAAGTGACATTTGTACATATTTATATGGCTGAATAAAATGCTGCAGTTTCAGGATAAAATATCAAACAACGGAGCTTCTTCTAAGACTTGAACCTTTGGTTTAGGCACCAATACACTGCACTTTTTCCTCAAAAGAGCCAGCAAGGCCTTGCTAAGGCATTCAAAAATAACACATAAGGATAACAATGGCATGTATCTACGCAGCTGCCTCCTCAGAGGACTATGGGAACTCCATACTTTAAGCTTCCCAACAGCATTGGTGACACCATGTTTTCAAGAAGAGGAGGAATCTCCTGCTGGATAAGGATTAGCCAGTCAGATTTAGACAGTCGCACTGCTGCCGCCCAAGAGGAGGCCCAACAGGGAGGCTTCATACCCTCCGATCCAAGAGTGGAGAGGATTTGTGAGGCCCTTGCTTGGTGCTGATATGGAAGCCTGGAAGAGGCTATGATGCATCCCGGAACTGAAAAATGGTGAGATGCAGGAGACAGGCTGATCTTCTGAGTCACTCAACCAATCCCCTGCTGATGCCTCACGCGTGCAGAGTGAATGTGCGCACAATACCGAACTTCCTCTGCCAAAAGAACAGAAACTGTCATCCATTCTCAAGTTTAATGTTAATGTCTATTTGTCCATCCATCCATACATACATCCATCCATCCATCCATCCATCCAAACAAACAAAGTTTCTTTTGTGTAAAGGAAAATTCAGCTAAATAGAAAATACTTTCAAGGCTCAGTCAGCTCAATCAGATTTGTTGTTGAAACATTAAAGAAAACTTTATCAGCGCCATTATGGTTTTCTGCTGAAATCCAAAGCCAAAAGTCACAACTAGTGTCTCTTAGCAATGAAAAAATTTAATACCTGGTGAGACCATTAAACGCAATGTGTTTTCAGCCAAATGAAAAATAATGTAGAGGAGATAAAAGAACGTTAACTCTAACTTTCATCTGTTGCTTTTTCTTTTATTATTCCATTGACTGTTCTCTCTTAGTATAAAAAATATGTGTATTATGTTATAAATAAAGGTAATAACTAACAGAGAACAGCTTGACACATTGTTTGTCAAGACATAGCCAATTCTGGAACTGAATGCAGGACATGCTGTCCTGGAACAAAGTCAAGGCTTTGAGAGAGCAGACAGCCTTGTCGTAATTGTTATGAAATGGTGCTGTGTCCATAGTAACTTCATAGTATGTTACTGACCCTCCATAAAGGTGAAAATTGATTTACTACAATGATCATATAAGACTATTTAGGTTCTTTATGAAAAATCGAAGATAAAAGTTACAAAAATGCATCCTTATAACACATTCATTATGCATTCATAGGACATTCAGTGCAGCTTCATAATGCATTCATAGAACATTCATAAGCAGCAAGTATATCTTAATATCCTAACATACTTAAACAGCTTTAATATACATTTAATATAATATCCATGTAACACACATTTAATATAAAACATGATATAATAACAAACATTATAATCATACTTACTGCTTATGAATGCTCTATGAATGCATTATAAATGCATCATGAAGGTGCACAAAATTTTCTACAAATGCATTATAAAGGCATTATAAAACTGCAGTTAATGTAAAGCCAAGAGATTTAATACACCTTCTCTTATCTT